GCATCGGGCTCCCTGCTCCACGGGAAGCCTGCTTCTCCCTCTCCCACTTCCCCTGCTTGTGTTCCCTCTCTCACTGTGTCTCTCTCAGTCAAATAAATAAACAAAATCTTTAAAAAAAAAAAAAAAAAACTACTAAGTTCTCCCCAAACATTACCCTAGCCCATCCATCCTTAACAGTAACATATAAAACCTACACTAATTCAAGTCCCACCTCTTTTAAGCAGCTGTCGGGCAGGAGCCACTTCAGAAATCTGAGTCAGTTTGTGAAGGGCACAAGCACTCTTTCCTGCCTTCTGTGCAACACCTGACAAATGAACTTCATCACCAGAAAAATCAATTTCATCTCTAGTGCTACCCACTTCCTCTTCTGAGCCCTGGTACCTCACTTATCTTTGGGAACATCACAGGCCTTAAAGAAAAAGGACAAAGGCTCTGAACAGAATTGTTTACTATTTGCTAGAACTTATTATCCTTTGTATCCTGACTTTATATTACAAATTGGGACTGCCTTAACAGAAGTGAAGAGCGACAATTATCTATAACCAACTGACAGGCACAAAGTCTGCCCTCAAAGACCTCCCATTATTAGAAGATGAAACTTTTGTCAAACATAACGCAAATATGAACAAAGAGAAAGCAAGTAAGAATGATACTGTTAAATACTACAGGCACTCATAAGGCACTGAAAACAATTTTTTGGCTTTACTTTTGCTTTGAGAGGAGGAAGATAATGTTAATGAATTCCTACTCTATCTCAGGCATTGTTTTTATAGATGATAGCTTATTTAACCATCATGGCAATCCTATGGAAGAAATTATTTTCTCCATTTAACAAATGAGAAACCCAAGACTGAAAGAGAATAAGTGACAGTATCAAGAATCACACAGTAAGTAAAAGCACTAGGACAGGAATCCAGGTTTTGTCTGCTCTCCAAATACAATGCCTTCTTCCTCAAAGGCTGATCATTCAGTCGCCAAAGATGTAATGGGCACCTATTATCTTCTACCCACCTACCTGGGACTGAGATCTTCAACCACAAACAAAACACACAGGGCTCTGCCCTCATGGAGCTTAGTGTCTTGTGAGAAAGAAAGACATTACACAAGTACACAAATACAGGGCAAGCCTATTTATTCATGGTGGGGAAAAGATCCCTGAGGAGATGTTAGGGTTAAGACCTAAAACATGAAGAGAAGTTAGTGGGAGAGTGGGGTAGTTAGATACAGCATGTACAAAAGTCCTGAGAAGGAAGCAAGCTGAGAATGCTCAGAGTGGTAAGGAAGCTAGTGTGGCTGGTATGCGAGTAGAATAGAACAAAACCATACAGTCTGGATAGGCAGAAGCCAAGTCATGTAGAGCTCATGAAAACGAGTTTGAATGAATTCAAGTATAATGAAAAGCCTAGAAGAACTGTGAGAAAGCAACCTGTTCAATCTGTTTTTTAGATGTTATTCTGGCTGCAACAGAAAGAACAGACTGAAGAGGGACTACAATAGACATAGAGACCCCAGTGGCCAAGCAAGAAATGGAGAGCTTGAATTAATGGAGTGCCACAGGGGTAAAGAAGTATACATTCAAGAGATGTATCTGGGAGGTAGCAATAGTACAACTTGCTGATGGACTGGAGGGAGAGGGAAAATCAAGATCAAATCAAGAGAAGAAATGAAGGATGATGCCCAGACATTTAACATGGGTACCTGGAAGGATAGTGGTTCCATTTGCTAAGATGGGAAAGACTAAAAGAACAGATCTGGTTAGAAAATAAAAAATTCGGGAGCGCCTGGCTGGCTCAGGCAGCGTAGCATCTGACTCTTGATCTCGGGGTCATGAGTCTGAGCCCCAGCCCCACGTTAGGTGTAGAGATTACTTAAAAAATAAATTTCTTAAAAAAAAAAAAGGAAAGCAAAGAAAAAATTCAGTTTAAAACATAAATTAGACATGCTGTGAGGTAACCAAATGAAGATGTCAAGTATGCCGTTACGAGTCTGGAGTTTAGAGGAGGTACAAATAGTAGCCAGATGCTCCACTAGTCCTTCCTGTTTAAACTGTGATGCTCCACATATTCTCAAGTGGACAGGAGCTTCAAAGCCACCTGCTTTTCACCCCCCACCTATTCTTAACACAAATGATAAGTTTTTAAGTCCAAAAGAGTATACCTCTCCTTGGAAAATAGTATAGAGAGCAGGCAAGTTCTCCATGGTCTCGGGTCTTCCTGAATTCATCCTTAACATTCTATGGCTCCTCCATTTCTCTTCTGCTGAAGCTAATTCAAGTGTCCTATCACAAAGAAATAAAACAGACAACAATATGAAAGACATCTGCATTAAAGAAGAAATGTGCACATAATCCACAGCTAATCTCTACAGAATAATAGCATTAGATTTAACACCATGCACTTTTATCCACATCTCTTTTGCCCACTGTGATCGTGAGGAGTTGTGGAAACATTGATTTTTTTTTTTTTCAGTTTGATACTTACCCAAGGCCATTCGTCTGTTTTGTTTTTTCTTTTCTAATTGCATTAGATTTAACACCATGCACTTTTATCCACATCTCTTTTGCCTGTGATCTTGAGGAGTTGTGGAAACTTTGATCTTTTTTTTCAATTTGATACTTACCCAAGGCCATTCGTCTGTTTTGTTTTTTCTTTTCTAATTACTACTGTTACTATTCTTTTGTCAAAGGAAGGCTTTTGAGATGTGTGTGTGAAACTGAATTTTTAAAAAGGGAATAATAATAGTAATAAGAGCTAACATTTATCAAGAATTTACTATGTCCAGACACTGTGCTAAGCACCAGACAGCCAATATCTCATTTAATCCTCAAAACTCTCAAGATGTAGATTGTATTCTTATAGAAATGAGAAAACCAAGGCTTCCAGAGGTCAAATTCTAGGCCTATGTCAAAAAGCTAGGAAATGGTGGAGTCAAACTCTGGCTGACACCAGAGTCCCTGCTTTTAACCACTGTGCTAGGTGTTAATCTGAAGTAACTTCAAAAAGAGAGAATAGCTTACTTTTTTCCTTATAAAATTAAAAACACACATGCTCATTTTAAAAGTTCAGACAATACATTCATAATAAAGAAAATATCATCCATAATTCAATTTTATTTATATTCTTTAAAACCTTTTCACATACAGGTTTTTTAACAGAATCATGAAATTATTAATCATTATTTAACAGCCATTTTCTTATATATTTTAATAATTCATACACATACACTTTTTTTTAACATTAATTTTAGAGGAGAGAGGGCACACATGCACACAAGAGGGAGGGACAGAGTCTTTTTTTTTTTTTTAAGATTTTTTATTTATTTGACACAGAGAGAGAGAGCACAAGCAGGGGGGACAGCAGGCAGAGGGAGAAGGGGAGCAGGGAGCCCAACGTGGGACTCGACCCCAGGACCCTGGGATCATGACCTGAGCCGAAGGCAGACGCTTAACCAACAGAGCCACCCTGGCACCCCAAGAAGAGAGAGTCTTAAGCAGACTCCACAATGAGTGTGGAGCCCAATGTGGGGCTCAATTTCCCGGCCCTGAGATTACAACCTGAGTCAAAACCAAGAGTTGGATGCTTAACCAGATGCACCACCCAGGTGCCTCTACACCTCTTTTTCTTAATGCCCACATAATAATCCATTCTTGGATGCACCAATTTACTCAACTATTTATGAATCATGTTAAAATGCAGACTATAATTCAGTAAGTCTGAGGTGTTGCCTGAGATTGTACATTTCCACAAGCTCCCTCCTGGATGATGATGATCCTTGCCTGAGTAGCGAGTCTTACAGCTTTGGAGTTGGAAGAGACCTTACAGATACTCTTGCTCAGTGTCCTGTTTTTGTTTGTTTGTTTGTTTTAAGATTTTATTTATTTGAGAGAGAGAGAGAATGAGAGAGAGAGAGAGCATCAGAGAGGAGAGGGTCAGAGGGAGAAGCAGACTCCCTGCTGAGAAGGGAGCCCAATGTGGGGTTCAATCCCAGGACTCCAGGATCACAACCTGAGCCGAAGGCAGTCGTTTAACCAACTGAGCCACCCAGGCACCCCTCAGTCTCCCATTTTAAACAGAGGGAACTAGCAGTCTAGTGGCTCTTAACCACGCCACTTTGCTGGATAAATCACTGCTACATAAAGATAAATCTAATGGTTCTGCCCTCAGTTCTCTTTTTCCTCCCAATTACACTTGCCAGCTGTAAGATTTGAAACTCTATTTTCCTTAGATTTTCATAACCAAATACTTTCTTCTCTCCTCAACCCCCTCACCTTCATATGACGACTTTGGGTCCTAGTTTTGGAAAGTCTTCCTGGTCTACAGGACCATCCATTAACTGAACTGCCTCACTTAAAACAGAAATGAGAGAAAATCCTATCAGTCTTCCAAATCCTGGTTCTAATATCATCCCCAGGTTCCTACATCCTTGTCCTTGAGTTCTGTAAGACAACTTCGTATCCTTATAATAAACTTGCACTTTTCGGCTTAGATGAGCCACAGGTGGTTTTTATTACTTTACTAATAGTACATAGAATGGAGGCAGACTGGTCAGTTCTTGAGAAATGGCTGATAAACAGGTTAAATTCAAGTATCACAGCCTGGTTAGATCCTGCCTCTTCCACTTCCCAGCTATGCAGGCTCATCTCCAATCT